AACTTAATAAAGAAATATAGATAGTTTAAAAATAAAACTTAATAGTATTTTTAATCATAATTAGAATTAGATAATTTTTGGATCATTAAAGTGTTTTAAAAAGGCTATCATTTTGGTAGTTAAATCATCTAAATTAGTTGGGTAGATCAAAAGTTATTACTATATTTTCCCAATATGTGTATCTAGTATAATAAATAATATAAATCAATTTTTTAAAATACTATTTATAGTGCATGTGATATAAATAATTGTGTAATTCATATGATTTGTAATCTTTCATTATATAAAAAATTGCATCATATCGAGTATACATATTAGAGAAATATGGTAAATTTTAAAGATTTTGTTTGTTTTTTAGCAGTTTTGTCTTTGATTTTATTAGAATTATAGTAATTAATACAAGACTTGGTAAGTGATAAACTCTAAACTTATTAGTAGATAGTATATAAGGTCTACTTTTAAATAATAAGTGCCTAATCTAATATATATATAAATATATAAACTATTTAATATTACAATTAAAAACCACTTAATACTGAAGTATTTAGGTGTGATTTGCTATAATGTTGTTAGTCAAAATGCTCTATTAAGTCAAATATATAAACAATTTTGTATTAGAATATATTTTAATATAATATTATTTTTGTTGAAATATTAAAATTCTAATTTGACTAAATGTTTGAATAGTTGACTAAATAAATATTATAACTAAATATCTAAATTAGTATATAGTAAAAATAACTAATTTTTGAATTAATAGTAATCCATTTAGTATAGTGAGTACTGTATAAAAAAAAATATGCATAATATGTGAGAAAATTTTTAAGCTGATATTATTTAGAAAAATATATACTCACTTGACAAAGACACAAAATAAACAAGTTCGGATATTTGCTAATAAATAAGTTTATATATATATTTAATTTAAATTTTGATATTATTTAAACACTTTAACATTATTTAAATTATTTGATATAATTTAGAATTTTAGTATTATTTTAATATTTTAGTAAACTAAATATCAAATATCAAAATATTTATATAAGCTTAAAACAATTTTGGCTAATAATATTAACTTGCTATAGCTTTTTATCTTTTTTTAATCTCTTATCTTATTGAGCAAGACAACCAAATATCTTCAATTGGTAGCTACTAAATTTTAAAAATTTTATAATAATAGTAAATATCATAGTTGTTGCAGATTAAAATAAAATCAGATTAAAATAAAATAGAAAACCTCTTTTGCTCCTCTTTAAAGCTTATAAAACCCACTTATACTCTTTTATTAATAAACCTAATACTAAATCCTAACCCTAATCCTAAAAAATATTTTCTAAAATTTTTTAAATTGTTTTTAAAAAATATAAAAATTTTATTTTAATCTGATTTATTTTAATTTGTCACAATAGTTACTATATATAAAATAGTAAATAAATATAAAAATATATAAAAATATAAGTTATAAACATTTATCAAACTTTTTTTGATAATTACTTGAACCAAAATTTCCCACCCAAGAAAAATACAAATTTTGTTAAAGAGTTGTGGTCTAATATAATGGTTTGTCTAGAGGTTAATGTTTTTGCTTGCAAGACTCTTCTAAAGTGATATTTGATATACAAGCTAAAAGCATTATTATACAAGACAACTAGTAGAAGGTGCAAAAAATCTTGGTTAAGAAAACTAAGACCAGATATTAATATCTATATTAGAGAGCAATTTTATATAATTGGTTTTTAAAACAATATAATAATAAGGGTTGAGATCTTGTGGCTTAGTGGTTTAGACACCCAATCCTTTATAAACAGGTTTTAGGTTCAAGCCCTAGTAGATACATTTGCTTATAAATATTTAGAAATATATGCTATGAAAAGTTCAAGTGAATACAAATCTGGATTAGGAATTTTTAGAAGGAGGTCCATTGTGAAATAGTTGGCATTACATATAATAGTAATTATTACAGAAGGTTCTATTACACAAAGGTTGTGTATACAAATTCGCAATTAGCAAAGTAGCACTAACAACCTCTAAGATAACATTGGGGATCTTGTTTGGAAGAATGATCGGGTGGTAACCAGAATTAAAAAGTGGTGAGAAATGTGATAAACACAAAGAGATTTGTGGTAAATAATTAGTTTTACCAGATTTGAAACATCTTTGGCGTATACAGAACTTACTAACCAATAAGAAGTTGAAGTATAGATATGTGTATGTGTTGATAAATCTAACAGGCTCTGGTCATATCTGTATGGAAGTTTTCGAACATTAAGAAGACTTGAGACTACCAATATAGGTATAGCTGGTATAAGTGAATATAGTGATAACCAGGAGCTACAATTGCCGAGAATCACCATAAATAGAAATAATGATGTACCTGTTAAAAACCCCTAGGCTTCATGATCTCATCCAACTATGTTGAGTACTGAAAGCATTTGCAAAACATGTTTGGGCAAGCCTTGTCACTATATTGGGAAGTATAGTTGTTTGCATATTGCCAAATTCGAAATATTAAGATCTAGATCTCAAAATTGCAGGAAACCAGCTAGTTATGGCTAGAGTAGGAGGCATGGAAAAATTTTTGGGCATGCTCTAGAGCATGCCCCCAAGTAAAGGCATACCCTTCTTATTGTACCCTGGGGTATATCTTTAATATATAAATTACCAAAAATTATAATACTAGAGATATAAAACTTTGGCTATAAAAAAAATTTTTAATAAATTACTATTATACCAGTATATTTGATTTAAACATTTATTATACTTAGTATATATATTTGTACTGTACTTTTTTATATATTGAATTCTATTTCTAATATTAGCCAATTATATTTATAATAATCTTTTCTGTAATCACATGATAGGGGCATGTCTTTTGACCTAAAGGCATGCCCTAGGGGCATGCTTTCTAGGCATGCCTCTAGGGCATGCCCAGGAACCCCATATCACCTACTCTAATTATGGCAGCATGCAGGCTTGAAATACTTACCCAATTGGGTAGAAGCAGCTACATAGCTTGAAATACAAACTTCTAGAAGTATGCTAGTTGAGACCAGATACACCAAACTGGAAGCAATAAGCACTCACCTGGTATACACCAATTTGGAAGTTAAGATATTAGGTATGTGGGTAAAGTGGCAGACATATGAATACTAATTGGCAGTTAGGAAGAGATGTATAAATCTAGGTTAATCATATGTATAAGAGTATTGACAGCTTTAGTAGATTTTAGCTGTGGATAAATGATCCTAGACCTAATTTTGATATGTAATATATATATATTTCAGCATTATTATATGTTAACTTGCTTAAGTATTAATAAAAATCTAGGATGTTCTATAGAATAGGTGGGCAAACTTCACAAATCTCGCAACTCTACTAAATAATTATTAATGATTATTAATCATCAGCAGAGTTTATTTTATATATTGCCCACCTATTCTATAAAATATCCAAAATCTGGAGCAAATGCTATATTCTAATATTAAAAAAAAAAAAAAAAACAATATAATAATAACTATAAGCCAATTGTGCCTATATAAAAGTAAAATTAATATAAACAAAGTTGGTAAAAATAAAATTGCAAATATATTGATTTTGTGATTATAAAGAAAGTGACTATAAAGAAAGTGACTATAGAAAAAGTAACTATAGAAAAAGTAATTATAGAGAAGTGACTATAGAGAAAGTAATTTTAAAGAAAGTGACTATAGAGAAAGTGACTATAGAGAAAGTAACTGTAGAGAAAGTAACTATAGAGAAAGTAACTATAGAAAGGTTTAACTATAGCTTGGTCAAATAAAAACATAATTATACAGTACAATATACAGTATAGTATAATATAATTACAGTTTGATTTTGATATAATTACCAGCTTTAAAAACAAAAATCTGGTAATTATAAAAAGTTATAACTATATAAAGATCAAATTTTATATATTTTATATTAGCTTAAATTAAAAATAGTGATTATATCAATATTATGACTATACTTGTTAGCAAAACCTAAACAAATTCCTGCTATTTATTAAAAATTAATTAAAAAATATAATTTTAAAATTTTGTAGATATATTATACTGTATTTAGTATAGCTATAAATATATATTTGAATTGTTTAAATATTATTAATGAGATAAATTTGGCCAGAGTTTGGGATTTGGGCGCGTCAAATCTAAACTATAATAGTTTAGAATTTTGCCAACTTGTATAGTTATAACTATATAAAAAGTAACTATAACGAGGTTAGACTATATATAAAAATAATTATACAAAAAGTTAACTATTATATAAACCAAAATTTGTAATTACAGTAGTAATAATTTTTAATTTATTAGTCTATTTAAATAATTTTATTACCAAAATAATCTTGATTCTAGCAAACCCAAAATCACTAAAATTACAGTATTAGATCAAATAAAATTTTAATTAATAAAATTTGACCAATAAAATTAGTTGAAAAAAATGGTTGTGTAATTCATTTCATTGGTTTGCAAAAAAAAAACAAGTAATACAAACATTTTTTAACTAATTTCAACTCCTTAAAAATTTTTACGTAAATCTCAAAATGGCGGGCATGGGCGTTATTTTGAGATTTTACAGTAATATGTATAAAACGATATAGATGATAAACTTGGAAACTACATAAACTGATGTATGAAAATTACTGACTAAACCGATATTGGTCATTATAGATTATATTCTAATATCATTTATTTTACCAACATTTCATCCGAAGCAAATGCAATAATAATATAATATTTCTATTTTGGATTTTTAATATGAATATAAATGTATCACAGTTGTAACAGTAACAATTTCCTTGTTAAAAAAAAGGGATCGTTGGAAGTATGGCCAAAAGATCTATCACAATCTATATATATATATTTTGATTAGTGAACATCGATAGAACAAATTGCTACTTAACGATAGCGTATGCATTCTTAACATAAATATATTAAGGAAAATGAGTTGTTTTTTGTGCTTGACCGTTAAGGAATATTTTGTTACTAATCATTGAAAAAAAAAAATTAAAATCGTCTTTTAAAAAAAATATATATTTCGAGAAAATAAGAATCTGTTGAATAAAATGTTTATTACCACTTTAACTTCGTCCAGACCATCTTTAAAGAACGTAAAGTAAGGAGTGATTCCATCCTCGCGATAATTGAGTAATCCAATCATACCATCCAGCCTAAAACTCTCACCAGTAAAAAATTGGTAATCTGTAGTAAAAATAAAAAATAAATTAATAGAACCATTTAACCATATTAATTAATAAATGAAAAATAATATACCTTTAATATTGCTAAGGATTTTTTTGGAAAAACTACTGATTTTAGTTTGCCATTCCTGCATGTCTTTGTCAGGACAATTTTCTTTAACGTGCTTAGAAAGTTCTTTCATATAACCCTTAAGATAAGTTGTGTAGGATTTCTTATCGAACTGGGTTTCTTGAAGACGAAAGGCATGGACAACATTATTAACTTGAGTTACGTTATCTTCAAGAGCCTCTTCTTGCTCCTCGGCTGAAGGATTTGCACCGATATCTATATCAACACCATCTTTGACTGAAACTACCTGACAATCAACTTCAAAGGCGACATCATCAACAAGCTTGATGGGGTAAGCGTCAGAAATGAACTCATCGCCTGCAAACCAAAACCGCCAGAGTTACAGAATTAAGAAAAGTCACTGCTTTTATCCCATTGTAAAAGACTCTAATACAAAGATCAAGTAAACGTAAACATTCACAATAATAGATGCGTTAATTACCAGAAATAAAATCACGATAAATAATCATTTTTTTTAAGAATAATGCTATTGTGAGGCGGATGTTTAATGGCAAAAAAAATATCGATAAATATTTATAGGCAATCAGGGCCGTCCGTGATAAAAGATGATTCTGCAAAAAATTCAGCGATTGGCCAGAATTACGTAAAGTCGACCAGCATTATAATTCGCAAATTCTGGCCATATTAATGTTAGCCAGCATTATGATGACTTTAGATCCTAAATCCAGAGTGATTTCTACAAAATTCCGTGAACGCAGACCCTGATATCGATATACCTTTTTTTTCTTCCGAAGATGGTGATTGGGCATTAAATCAACCAATAGAAAAAAAATCAAAACACCGCCCCAACTAGGACTCGAACCTAGAACCTCCGCCTTAGGAGGGCGACGCCATATCCATTAGGCTATTGGGGCCAACTTTTCAAGTGTGCTGTGTTTTAAAAATCATGGTTAATTTACAACCTGGGCCGATGATTTTTAACATGTTGAAAGTTTCCATATCAGATATAAATAGGGCCCTATTTGTCACACCCAGAAAAAACTATATTTAAAGAAATGAACTCAATAAAAATATTTTATTAAATTTAATAATTTAATATTTATAAACACTTTTACTAAAACGCACCTATGGGTGTTTTACCACTTATGTTGCGTTGCATTATCTTAAGTAAAAATGCTCTACGCTCCCAAAACCCTCTCAACCTTTAAATCTAACTCTGAATACTAACCCCAACATGAAAAATTTGTGCTAAAATTTTATATACAAAACTTGAAAAATTATACAAAACCACATAATAGGTGCAAAACCACCATAAGTGCGTTTTATAATAAATGTATTTCATTAATAATAAAAAAATATACTATCGCTATCAAAACAAGGTTCGTTACAAACCGGTCAACGGTCAAGTGTTTATTATCTACTAATATCAGTCAAATTGTTTTCTTTTGATATTTGACACACATAGACAGTTGCTTGTCTCGTTCAAATTCACATACCTTTAATATAGTAACATGAAGTTAATTCTAATCATTCATGCTTTGAGATAGTATGTAACAAGACGGCATCTAGGTATATCATAGTTGTCGTTAAATGAAACGATCAATAAACCAAATATAATAAACTTGATATAAAAAGAGAAATAAAAATTTTTTTTTAAGTTGATTATAAATAGTTAAAAATGACATGAAGGAAAACAATAGACATTTGATTCATTAAATCCAAGTTTTATTGTATTCAGAACTTAAATCGTCACCATCATCACCGTTAGAAATCAAACCGACAGTTGTGCTTGAATTTCTACCACTATAATCATCAGAGTCATGAAGAACCCTAACACTGCTAACTTTTGTTATCATTATATTGCTTAATGCACTATTATTATCTTCAGCACTTTTTGCACCCGTAGCAACATTTGAGAACATATCAGAATTATCACTCATGGATAATTCAATAGAATTTTCTTTGGATTTTACACGTCTGCGACGATAATATATTATTATTCCTGCAGCAATGATTAATGAGATTATTGAACCTAAAATTCCTGCGGCTACTTTTGCACCCGTACGATCATCGGGTTGACCAGAACCATTTGATGTTGATGTAGGAGATGTTGTTGATGTGCCTATATAAATATAGAAAATTATATGGTCAATATATTGTGTATAATAGTATATACTGTATCTTGTATAATAATAATAATAATAATAATAACTACTTTTTGATGTGAAAGAACTTGAATTGGATTTGGGACTAGGATTAGGGGCAGAATTTGTTGTTCCTGTTTCATCATTTCCATTATTAGAATTAGTTCCACTACTAGGATTAGATCCACTACTAGGATTAGATCCACTACTAGGATTAGGCCCACTACTAGCATTAGACCCACTGCTAGGATCAGATCCAGTGCCAGGACTAGACCCGGCTTTCCCTAAAATTTAATATAATATATATATATTATATACTATACAGTATTTATATATATATATATATATATAAAATAAATGAAATAAAATACAGTATATATGGGAACTTTGCTAAGTAGGACAGCGTAAGTTATGTCATTTAGTAATATGATTTGGATTATTATTATTATCGTTTATTATTTATCTATATTTTTTTTTTTATTTGTAAAGCCTATAAAAAACGAATCATCTAAATCAGATTATTAGATGATTAGTGAATTCAGATTTTTGGACATTTTTCTAGCAAAGATCCCATATATTATTTGCTTTTTTACCTGCTTGCCCATAAGTACCGGATGTCCCTGCTGTCCCAGCAGTACCACCGGTCCCCGCTGAAGGAGGGTCAGTACTATTTCCAAGTGTAGGACCAGTAGGTCCTACCTTTATGAATAAATAAATAAATAAATAAATATTAAGAATGATAATACGTATATATGTTTAAAGGCTATTGCACAAAGAAATTATCTAGACGGTAAAAAGAAAACGTACAGGTCCGGTCGGTCCAGTTGGACCAGTTGGGCCAGTTGGACCAGTTGGTGGCGTTGGAAGATCTGATGTTGGTTGAGCAGGTTGAACAGATGTTTGAGACTGAGATACGCCTCGTAGTTTTAATTCTGAAATATAGTAATTATTAGAATGATAGAACGCGTATAATTAATCGCGCCTAAAAACCTACACATACAATGAACTTACTTGAGCTACTTTCACCACATTGACATTTTACAGTAATTGTGTCGGGATCGCATGAGTTTTCCAATACATTTGAATTACAATTTTTGCATAAAGGTTGCGATCCAACCAACACATCACTTTTATTTCATCATTTGTTAAATTATAT